CCATTTAAGCATCTAAGCTCTAGATAATTTCTGCACATATAGAATTCATCAGTTTCAACTATGCTGAAATAAGATGTAGTCACAAATTACAGAAATATGCACCATTTTATCGCCAGCATAATTTCAAATGTAAGTATTTTTAAAGAAAGGTTTGTTCAATGGTTAAATATAATACCACCTATAGTTTGATTGTATAATGCATATCAATCTGCCCCAAATTTGATCCTTGAATGTATTTATAAATACTTTTTTACCCTTTACAATAAACGTATATCAATGTTAAGTTTCCATTTTACTAGTTTATACTTCAAGAATTAAATTTCCCAGGCACAAATAACAAAATAACTATTTTTCTTTATTATTTTATCAAGACATGTCAACAGATATGAATTAACAGTATATTTAACATTTCAATATTATTAGGAAATAGCCACAATACTACTGAATATTTTTTAAAACTCCAGACTAAAATGTGACATTTGTATATAGATGTTACAAGCTATTTGGGTGTGTATCACAAGAAAAGGGTAGGCACAGAAGGGAAGTAAAGAAGCCAAATAATTTGAGTACCTCTTATGAGGATGCAAGTAAAAAGTGGATTTGTTGTGAGAAGTAAGTAAAACTGGAAAGAAGATAGGCAAGTGAGGGGATAATATTAAAAGAATAAAACCTGGAAATACACATACACCATACACAGGAGAGAAAGGAAGAAGAGGGCAGAGTGAGATTAGAATAAAAAAGCATAGATCACAATACTTAATATTGTTCCATTTTAATGTATACTTAACATATAATGGACACAACATCCAAATATTTAAGTTTTATTGCTGATTTGCTGACAGTACCATGATGGACAGTATTCATGGATGCTACAGAAACTACTATTTCTAAAATCAAAAGCAAAATCACTAGGACTTCGATCCTGTAAATACTAACTTCAGTCCCACAGATTTGAATGGCTCTATAATGGACTACATCAAAATTGAACAGTTTGAGGGGGGGGGAAAGAGCAGAGAATTTAGTTTGGATAGCTTCAAAAAGATTATGAAATAAAGCTATGGGTTTGTCTACCCAAATCTTTGTAACCCTCATTACGAATAGAAGCAACCATGATAAGCATCTTGGTTTTGTTATTGCTGAGGTTTTTTTTCACAATTATTCCATTATTTCTCCCTTCCCCCTTTTTTAAAGCTCCAACCCACCCACCTCTATTTCAAGAATCTGGTCTATTTTTGGCAAGTTCACCCCATTATTTCAACTAAGAAAGTAGATAAAGACTCTTGTGGAGTGAATGGGCCATTTGCCAATTGCTGCTGTAAAAGGGAGAGAAACCCTCTGCGTTGAAATAAAAAATTCCTGCAAGCAGGGCAGTAGAAATAATTTACAGGGAAGCCTTCTCTATACCACAAAGTATCAATATTGTGTTTTATTTTCCATAGTATTATCAGATTTAAAATGACATTCTAATGCACAGCAGCTGCAAAAAGAAATGGTTGCAATTATGTTTTTCTCATAAAAACCAATTTTTGATATGCCTGGGAATTTAAGAATAAAAGGTTAGCTATAACAATACGATATTTTCCTAAAAATAATACCAGTTCAGTCTCACATCTAAGAAACCATATTAATTTTAAAAAGATTAGAGGTTTCAAAGCCTCTGAAAACTTCAGTTTATCTTACAACAGAATTTGTACAAATGTAAGTACTTGCACAAAATATAACACTATGAACTCCTATGTATCCGTACATTACAAATACTGAAATGATTCCAGTGATTGATATCCATCAGCTAACTTCCAAATAATAACATAGAGTTATATTTTCATTTTGTCTAGGCCAACTTCTGTAACTGGAACAAAATGTAATTGTGTGAACATTCAAAGCTAAAATTTTACCCAATAAAATTACATTTAAAGTTTACAATCATAACTGCCTAGATCCAAAACTGATACGCATGAATGCATCAATCATGCATGCTTTTTTCAGCTACTCACTAAAAAGACTCTTTTTGAGATAATGTAAATTACTCCTTGTGTTAACAGAAGTGCATACAGTTGGTGGGTGTATTTCTGAATTTCATCAAGCATTTGATATGAAATAGATCAGATTTACTATAATTACTTTCTTTTTTTATTCCAGCACAGCACAGCACAGCATTTCTGAAAACCTACTAAAATATACTATAGAAGAACCAGTTTCAGGAGGTGAACAGTAACAGCAGCCTCTGAATGTCTGGTGTATCATGACAAAAAAAGCTGAACTAAAGGATTAAAGCTGTCAACAGTAGATCATTGGTTGAATGTTATATAGCCCATCTTTCTTCCAGGAGCTCCGGGAGGTGAACAACTCAGTTCTGCCTCTTAATTTTTTCCCATCAAGAGCAAGCCTATTCAGCAAATCAGACTAAAGAGTGAGCGACTGTTCCTTGAGTTTTTGGGGCCATACGAGGCCTTAGGTAGTTAACAGTGGATTTTCCTCTAGCTTTCCTGCTTCTACACCCTGACCATACACCACATAAGTATGCAGATAACCAAACATTCCTTGATTTTCTAAATGTTAGAACTTAAAATAATACTCTTTACTCAAATAGCTTATTAAAGACCTGTGCAGCACAAAAAGCAACAACAATGAGCTTAATCAAATTTAACGGTTTATAAGATGGCAGAATTACAGTTAGCCCAAACCAAGTATTCCCACTAAAAAATGATAGAATGAGGGCAAAAAATGGATTAATTTCACACTCTGGGGCTTTCTGTAAAATGCAGGATACAGTAGAGCCAGTTATGTTTAAGTTATTGCAGTGGAACACAACATAGACATTTGTGTGGCAAGGGGTGGGGTGGGGGAGAAACCTGCTTTTAATTGTAACTGGAGAAGACCACATCAGCTCTGAAAATGAGTATCAAAGCAGAGCTGCCACGTGCCCTAAATTCAGTTAAGTCAGCACATTTCTCATCAGTGTGTTTAAATTCTATATTACGCAAGTCCAGCAATTGCACATTTTAACACTGTAACACACAATGTACAATCATATCATTTTCTCAAGAAAGGATGCTGCAGTCAATCTTAAGTATGATTCCATATACATCAACTGGAAATAAATATAAAACGTTTCTATTTCAGAAGTCATGTTTCTGCATTTCGCCCTCACCAGCAGCAACAACACCATGTGAATAATAAGCCCATTGCAACAAGTCAGTTCTATTTCATAGGAAAGAGGATTGGCATATCCATGCAAAATGTACAATCTCTTCAATAAAATATATTCTGCAAAAGCAAGAAACAAGGAAGTTGAGGACAAAATGAAGAAATATTGAAAGGGGTGTTTTTTTTTAGGACACATGGACAAAATGTAAGATGCCATCTTCAGGGAGGGAGATGAACCTAACAGAAGCAATATCCTGTCTGATTATACAATAGTGAACACTGTGTAGAAGAGTAATTCCTGAAATAAAGTTGCTGAACATGGTTCAGATTACTGGATACCTCTAAAAGTATAATGCTTTGCAGAAGCATTTACTGTGTATCAACATCCTACTTCTTACAACACATGGTGTTGCATAAGTAGTGAAAATGTATTCAAAAGGTGCTTGGACATCTTTTTAGGCAGCATTTTATCATTATTTTTAGCTATCATCTTACTCAGTTTTATGATAAATGGTCAAGGGGGTATTCAAACAGAAAAAAAGTCTGGGTTTGAAATATTTTTTTTAAAAAAATAAGAGATAAAATGTTGCCCAAAGTCTAAAATCATTTTCACACAATTCAATGTTCTTTTTAATTATATAAATTAAATAGTTCTAATAGTTAAAGATACAATTTGTATCAACAGCGTAGGTACTTTCTGGTTCTACAGCATCTTCAAGTTGCAGTCATCCACCCAGTTATCAGCAATAATTATGTAAACTTGGGAATCATCACAGTGTGAAACTCTGAAGGGACTTCTACTATATGAGCAGTCAATCACGATGTCTACGGTATCAGGCACTGTGAGATCTACTGTTAATCTATTATTGTTAATCTATTTATGTAAAATTACATTTTACAAGAGCTACAAAAGCTCAAAACGTAAAACCAGAAATCTCCCATACTAATACTAGAAGAGATGACAGTGTCTACTTCTAAAGCTATGTTGTTCATGGCAAGAATTGGGCCTATATAATGCAACAGGCCAGACAAACTAATTCTATACAGTATTTCACAAAAAGAATGTGCTGTTTTCATCTATAATTACCATTACTATAGTGCAGTTAAGATGTTGCATATCCTGAACACAATGTAAAACTTTCTCAATAAATAGCATGAAAATACACAATCTTATATACAAAAATTGCATTGAGAACACAATTTGTTTCTTTAAAAACAGTTATTTTATGAAATACTTGTGCATTAAGTAAAAGAACAAGAGATACACTTTTCAATGCCATTTCTGATTAATGGAAATGTACATTGGCTGCACAAGACTGCTGCCTAAATGGATATATTTGTAGTCAAATTTGTGACAATCAGGAACTGGATAAGCTGAATAATTTCAGAACCTGCACATAAAGGTTTTTTTCATCTGCATAATAAATTAATAAAAACAGGTTTCTCTCCTACTGATTGCTTCTGCTTACAACAAAATTAACAGTAATCAACAAATAAATTAAATCCATAGCCAAATTAAAAAGTGCCATACTATAAAGTACTAATATATTGTTACCCATTTCAATGTAAAAACCAGTAACTTATACATTACTTTAAAAAATTCAGTGCTGTAAAAGACTGTTGTTTTCTATAAATAAAATGATTATATACAAAGAAAATCACACAATAAAATTAAATAACTTAATTATGAAAAAAATAGATCCTAATAAGCTTAACTTGAAAAAAAGTTGGCTGGGCACAGAAAATCCTCTTTAGTTTTCTGCTGTTTTGAAAAAAATGTTTTGCACTTGAAGGATAAAACACCCAATAATTTAATAAATATGTAACAAATATTAAAAAGTGCTGCATATAAAACCCACATGCACTAGAGATTCTTACTTGAGACATCATAGTTATAATATATTCAGCTGGAGAGACATTCCAGCCATGAAATATTTTTTTTAAAAAAACTTGAGTATTTAAAATAAATCCTGTTACTTCCAGTGTGGGGTTATACATACAGGTTCCATGGCACAGTATTTCACATATATGGATTACTATATAACCTCCTTGCTGAGAAGGAGATCACAAATGCTATTGTAGCAAACCTCCCTCAGCAATACAGCTGAAACTGAACTATAGACACCATAAAGATGCGTCATCAATAACCTAGCTGAGACTTCTCCACTAAAATGGCTGCAGCAAGCTGCTGAGCATCTGCCATGTGAGGATTCCTCTTCATAACAATCCTCACCAGGTCAGGCGGGAAAATGTTGCACAGGTTGATGTAGACTTTCTCTCGACTGTCTTGGTACCTTGGAAGATCTTGAGGCATTCCACAGTAAGGTATCTGCCAAGGCTGATCGGGTTGCTCAGGTAAGCTTTGGAAAGCAAACTGCTCATAACATGGTGGGGTGGGATTGCTGGGTAAAGAGTAAGTTTGGCGATAGCCATATGTATCCATCCCATAGCCTGGCCTATCCCAACTACTGAGTCCATCTTGAGCGGAGTATGTTTTTCTTTTTCTCAATGGAGAATTATCATACAAACGTGAGTCTGATATACTGTCCAGTCTTGTGGATGCAAGAGCTCTCCCCAGAGGCATGCTTTTTGAATGCTGTGAACCCTGAGAAGCAGGGTAGTCAATAGGACAAGTAGAACGGCTTCCCATGTTTGGATGCTGAAAGTGCACAGCCATGTATGGAACTGGAGGCTTCGGATGATGCTTTGGTTCTTCATGACTATAACTTTGCACTCTGGTTAGTGTATCGTGGTAACTCTGTAAGAAGGACTGCGAGTTCAGATGGCTATGGGGATGCATATGTTGACATTTTAAATTTTCTTCCAGTTGAGGGTCAGGAGAACTCACATAGGATCGATCATTGTAACCCATGTAGGAATCACTACTGCCACAACTCATGCTCCCTTCACTACTACAATCAGAAGCTACCGAACTAATTCTGTAATCTGTGTCCAAAGAGAAACGTCTTTCGGGACTTCGGGGACCAGAGATACTTAGGTTTGAATATGCACTGAGCATAGAGTAATAACCTACATCCACAGGAGAATCACATTTGGGATATTGCTCATAAGGCATTGGCGTTCCATGATTTTTGGTTGTCATTATCACTGGAGAATATGGTCCCTGTGGTCTTTGATCCTGAGGTGGGAAATGAACTCCAGATGGAAGGCCATTAGTTAAAGGTGCAGTACTTTGGGGTTTTGCAGCAGCAGAAGTTGGTATACTAACTAAAGAAGGTACAGATCTGGTTCCCAATTTATTTTTGGTGGGAAGCTTTTCTTCCAAGTCTTGGTAGACTTGAGTCCTTATACTAGGATCTGATTGCCTCTTTGGAGTAGTTCGCTTGAGATCTGTAGTGTTATCTGTCTTAGTACTACAAGGAACACTGTTGCTTTTCACCAGTCCTCCTTCACTAGCAGCTTTGGCAGCTGTGTTCCTAGACATGGCACGAAGTTCATCAGCTACTGACCTCTGAGGTTGATTTCCTCTTTCTGGGTGATAATATTTGCATTTGTGTCCATAAGTGCATTTCTTCCCTATATGAATTTATAATTGAAGATGTAAGCATACAAAGTAAAAAAAAACCCAAAGTAATTTATTTCTTCAGCAATGTTAAAAAAGTACTGTACATACTCATACAATGGGGACCATTAACTGTTATGCAATGAAATTAACTAAATTATCAGTAATAGGACAGTGTGTTTGTATAACACGTTAACCCATCCTGTGATTAGCCCTATCATACTGTCTGAATACAAATCAAGATTATATAATAATTGGGAATAACCATATAGAAATCAGGATTATTTACCTAAACAATTGCCTGCTATATTATCCAAACTTTAACTGGAGGGGGAGTTTGATAGAGAGGGGAAGCCTCATCGTCAGGATCTCTACTGTTCTGGATCCCCCCCCCCCATTCACTACTTAAGAGGGATGAAATGAGGACACAAAGGGATTCCTCATTAAACTTCTTACATAATGAAAATTTCAACACAGATATATTTCACTTCATTTATGAAGAGACAAACAATCAAGCTTCATTTAAAAAAACACATTTAATGTTTAATTGAATAATATTACCATATGGACAGGGTTGCTTCTTATGTTCTGGTACAACAGGTTTCTTCCTCAAAAAGTTCTCCAGACTTGGGCCATGACGGCCGAGAGGATCGTCTGGAGGCATGAATCTAAATAATAAAATAATGAAAGGAACAATGCATTTGCTGTGCCATATTTCAGATCTATTTTAAACCTGCTCCTAAAAAAGACTAGTAAATCAAAGGTATAGCTACTGCCTGTTATTTTAAATGCAACTGCCTGTGAGATGCTAGGAAAGTAAATAATGAAAATAATGTATTTGCATGTAGTGCAGATAGCTGCCTGGTTTATGTACCAATCTATTCAATTTGCATAGCAGATAAATGGGTGTCCTTACTTCTTTATTTCCATTCATTTAAGATACTGTCCAGAGCAGCTCTTCTATGAGGAGGTCTTTGCATACAGGTAGTCCTTGCCTTATGACCATTCATTTAACAACCAAAGTTACAATGGTGCTGAATAATTTGATCAGTCTTTGCACGTATAATCCTCACAATATCCTGAGGTCAAAATTGGGCACTTGTCAACCAGCATGTATTTATGATGGTTGCAGCATCCTGGGATCACATGCTCAACATTTGCAACCGTCCTGGAGGGGAATCCCAACAAGCAAAGTCAGTGGGAGGGAAGCTGGATTCACTTAACAACTATATGATTCACAGGTAATCACTTTGGCTGCTGCGCGAGCTGCATTGGCTGCCGGTGGCTTTCCGGGTGCGCTTCAAGGTACTGACTATCATCTTTAAGGCGCTCCATGGCAGCGGACCAGGATACCTTCGAGACCGCCTTCTGCCACAGATTACCTCCCATCGGCCAGTACGCTCCCACAGGGTGGGTCTCCTCAGGGTGCCGTCGGCCAGACAGTGCCGGCTGGCGACCCCAAGGGGGAGGGCCTTCTCTGTGGGAG